ACCCGGTCGCCAGCCTCTTTTCCCTTCCCCTTCTCTCGCCTTCATCCTCCCTCCTCTCTCCCACAAGACAGCGGCTGTCTGACCACCTCATCAGCCACACGAAAGAGAAAGGAGTGTGATAATTACCCGCAGCTTCGCCCAAACGCAGTGTGCACTGACTCGCTGTCTCTGTCCTGTCTAATCCCTTTGGTGCAAGAGATCATTAGGTTAATTTTCACCACCCGTGTCCCCAAACAGAAAGCAAGAATATGAATTTTGAGCTAAAATTAAGCTGCCTGAGAGCATATTTGATTTTCCTTTCTGTTTGCACTTGCCTTTATATCACAGGAGTTGTTAATATTTAAAACACCCCCCTGCTCTTAACAGCACCCTTTACCACTCAAATCACCAGCTGCCTGAAAGCGACCACATGGCAACGCGCACAGAGAAACTTTTCTGTCATCTGCTTGCAGTCAAGGTGAAAAAGACGACGACCAGCCGTGTTACCGTGACAGGAGAAGCTTGCGTGTTGCTGGCTACTCCGAATTTCAGCCACGGTCTGATGTTTTTTGAAAGCTCTGCCCCCCCGCCACGCTGAGTCTCGCTGCTAGCCATCGAGTACAGCCCCTTATTACAAGGAGAGGGAGAGCTTAAAAGCTGGGTTTAGCAACTGCTCTGCCCATATGAGATGCTCGCTGTATCGCCCCTAAGAAAACAGACCGCAGCGTACATGAAAACCGATGCACGCCCAGGGTCTCATTAGTTCCATATGATAAATGCTTCATGCTGCAGCAAGTTGTTGAAAGCTTTTTATATTTAGCCCTGGAATTTCACTGGCTGCATCCCTTCACCAGATGCTGTGTGTTAATCTCCTGTTTACACCTCTAGGCTGACGCTGGGTAAACCCTTGGGAGAAGGTTGCTTTGGGCAGGTTGTCATGGCCGAAGCGGTGGGGATTGACAAAGACAGGCCAAAAGAAGCGGTGACTGTGGCAGTGAAGATGTTGAAAGGTAAGAAAATTGGGTGACTAGGGATCAGAATGGGTAATGTGGCAGTCCTCATCCATGAAAAGTTTCTTTTGTGGCATCTGAACTCTGTCATCGTGGGGGGGGTCAAAGAGCACATAGCTGACCTCAGCCTTCAGCAGTTTGGGGTGTAAATCTGCGCCCTTGACAGCCTGTTTATCTTGAGCAGTGAGTATTTAGGAGCCAGGAGACGTATTAGCATCGTGTGGGTCTCTCTGCTTTTAGTTTAGTTCATGCCAGAGGCTGTCCATGTGTTAGATCCTAGCCTGTTCAGTCCAGGTGGTTGGTTCCTATTTATTTTGAATTTAATTGTAAGGTTAATTTGCAGGAAAGGCGTAGTTATTGGAGGTTTGATAGCTAAGGACAGCATTTTTATGCCTGATATTACTGTGTTGCCTCTTAACATGTAACGCTGAAGAGAAGGTCAGTCCATCAGAGAAGTTGAGTCTATTTTTGTTAGGCCATAACATATGCCTTCGTATAACGTACAGTATATACTGGGAAACAAATCCTGTATTCTGCATTTTGAAGCACACATGTTTTACACCAACTGGTGAGCCTTAGTGAAGTTCAGGCAGGCACACTAGAGAATATGAACTGAACCTGTATCTTGCACAGATGATGCTACAGAAAAAGATCTTTCTGACCTGGTGTCAGAGATGGAGATGATGAAGATGATTGGGAAGCATAAAAATATCATCAATCTCCTTGGAGCCTGTACCCAGGATGGTGAGTAGAGAAAAGAAAGTAAACCAGGACTTTCCAACAGGTCTGCAAAAGTCTCATTAATCATAGTTTTTCAAGAATTTTTAAGGAAGCAGTCATGCCGTGATGGGATTTTTAGATATTTCCCTAGCTTAGCAGCAATATTTTAACTTCTGTCTCTCATTATACTTGCAGCTTTAATGTGAGAAAGGGTACTATATCATATGAAAACTCTCTAATCCCTTGCTGTAGGG